AGTACCTTCTGTTCCTTAGCATATCCAGACCATCAGATATCGCTTGGACATGCGCCCGCATGCCCGCCTAGTCTACCGTGTTACCTCTTGGTATTACGTATGGGTATAGACTTAGGTTGTCATAGCTCTATAACGTAGAGTCGTTATACTTACATATTGACGGGAAGGCTACAGCAGGAGCAACAGTGCTCGGAACGAGCTGTAACTTGGCAGAATTATTCCTGACAGGTACCTGCAGCCCTAGGGTTCAACCCGGGCGTCATGGGCCTAAATGGTTGACGTTGCTGTCATACTAGTTAAACAGAGTCTATGAAGACATGTCCATAACACTGTATACGTCGCTGCCATCCGTCCAACTAGAGGCTGTTTGCAGGATATACAAGGGGGCCAAGGTGAGAAGTTCAGGTACCTTCTCCAAAAGGAATGGAGTAAAACAGACCAAAACTGACAGAGTTAGCATGAGCTATCCGGATGGGTCCCCAGAGTAGTCCTGGGTAGTGCCAGAGACATCAGGGAAGGTTTTACGCCAATTAAACCTACATGTGCTCCTTTGCTGTAGGTTCTTTGTAGGTTGTTTGAGTACTCTAATAGCATGATACTTATCATGGTGAGTGGTGTGCTGGGGGTAAGGGACCATGGGTAGCGCCCACGGGTCCCGCCGCTACCACAGCTCTCTGTGGGAGCATTGTAGACCTTCTAAGTTCACAGTCAAGATAGATAGAACTTACCAGGAAGACAGTGGATGTCTAAGAGTGCTTGCATGGGTCATAGCATGTGGGAAGAGAGTCATTTAGTTACCTTTCCTAGGCATCTCAACAGTTAACCACTTGCAAGTCACTGATGTGTAGAGGTTTTCACTCTGGCAGGTATATTGGTAAACCCCTCGCAGAGGTTGAGGTACATACAGGAGATTTCTACTACCGTGCACTGAGACCTAAGGCCCTTCGGGGATACAGTAATGGTGCCGGGTAACTCTTATGGAGAAGGGCATACTCATCTTGGTTGGGGTAACCTCCTGAAGGAGTTTTTGATATAAGTCTAACTACTTATAGATTATACGAGAACTCTCCTAGCCCAACACAATCAACATCCTCTCAAGAGACTTTAATTGAGATAAGCCAGAGCTTAACGATATTAAGTTTTACCCTTTTACTTTTATTCTTTACACTTTGCAAGAGCTGTATTCAAGAGACTCGAAGTTTAGTGTAGTCGTATCCTTAGGAACCATCTACCTGAGGGAGCCCCTGTTACAATCAATTAGCTCTTCTGGCTGCCTCAACAGTTAGCTACCCATGAGGTACTGAATCACAGAAGTTATCTCCCTAGCAGGCATTTTGGTAATATCTCACAGAAACTGATGTGCATATAGGCGACTGCTGCTAGAGTGTACTGACCTCTTAGGCTACAGGAATATAGTAATAGTACTAGGCAATACTTAGCAGAGACAGATACTTACAATGGTTATTGTAACCTGATGGGAGAGTTTCTAGTATAAGTGTAACTACTTAAAGATTATATGAGAACTCTCCTATCCTGACACAATCAATATCCTCTTAAGACTTTAACTGTAATAAGCTTCAGCTTAGCAATATTAAGATTTACTGTTTACTTTATTATTTTACATCTATAAGAGCTGTGTGTACAAAGTTTTAATGTTTAGTAGGGTCACATCTCTCGGATCTATCTTCTGAGAGATGCTCCTGTTACAATATATTATTAAGGGACTATTTCTCTTAACTCCTCTTCTAATTTGTTTAATTTCTTTCTGTTTCAATCAAAGGTTGAAATTTATGTCATAGCTATACCAGTTATAATAGAAGAGCGATTATCAGGTTTGAAACGTTTTAGTCTTGATAATAACCTATTAGAAAATGCCCATTTTAGGACTTCTGTAATTACTGACACCCATGACATTAGTGACGGGAGCTCTCAGAAGCTTATTAATGCTGCTCCCATATAAATCTCCAATGACTGTCAAGATCTAGTCTTCCTAGATTCTAGTATCACTGTACTATTATTCATGAATAATATCTCCTTCACTTAGGAAGTCCTAGATGGCACCCCAAATGCTAGAGAGATCACTATTGCTCATTTTACATATGACTTTATTGAACCTTACATCCTGTAAAAAGTGCCCCATAAGATTAATAATGCAAAGAAGGAATTATTACACTATATTAAGAAGCAACAAAAGGTGTTCAGGCTATAGATAGTTGATACATTAGTGGAGTGGCCAGTAATGCAGCACGATGCTTCTACAATTTTCCTAAGAAAGCAGCAGGCCATTAAGATATAGGTAGAAGTGTTAGAAAAGGCTTGTAAGAAAGGTTATCACATTGATAAGAACAATGATATGTTAATGATTGAACCAGCTTCCACTTTACCCCAGTTGTCAGATAAGACTATCAATTATGCTGAGCAACTAACTGAATATGTCAGTAACTAGAGATGGAGGCCAGAACTGAGTCTACTTGGGTTGCAGATTCTGGAAAGCATAATAGATCAAGTATCTGAAATAGCACATTTTTGCATGTATCTCCTCACAATTACTCTCTATACTATTAGCTTACAGTTATTGTACAAGTTCTATTAAAGGATTGTGATAACAAATATCTCTGTGAAAATTGCTCCATCCTATGGCAAAACCATTACACGCAACCTCTCCCTCTATTATAGCAACCCCAGTACAGCTACCAGTTCAGGTATCAGTCCCTCCTGTTTGATTAACTTTGTTCATGTAAGGCCCTATACCAGTAACTAGTCCAGCTCCTATCACAGTTGTGGTCCTGAGACCTATAATAGGGGTATGCTCTCTGAGTTGATTGGACAAGATTGAAGAACAGCCAAAAGATCTAAATCCTCCTTCCTGTACATGTCTATGTTGTATCACAGCTTCCCAAAGCACTCCCACTCCAATGGTAGATACCTTTTACCAAACCAGCCAGCCACTAGTTCAAGTGCCAGCAGCAGTTTATAATTCATTTAAATTATTACAGGCTGATAAGTTAGATAATAATATTGTTACTAAAATGTCAATTATCAAATATGAGTTCAACATCTAAATATAAAATTCCAAAATAGTCCAGTTAGTAAATATAGAGGCCACTAGTGCGTTAATATTCAGAATACATGCAAAATATTTTTATAATTTCTTAAAGGAAAGGTAGCTTGAATATTAGATAACTTATAATATATCTATAATATCTGATAAGTGTATAGTAGGAAATTTGTTTAATATTCAAATATACATTTCCAAAATTGTACAATCATAGTGGGAATCAATTTCTCACAATATATATTGACATATATGTTATTATAATTAATAATATAATATTCTGTTTATAACGATTTGAGTATTTATAATATCTTATTGAAAGCTTTATATTAAAAACTAGAAAATAAGATTACCAGTTTTTAGAGTATATAATATGCTGTACTATTATCCCAAGAGTTCTAATATATTCATCAAATTTAATTTGATTACAAAATAAAAATAATAAAAATTAATATATGTAGTATATTAATTCAGTTAGCTAACTTACTATTAATTATCTCTTATGTTCTATAGAGCCTTTCTATTACTAATAATTCACAAGAATTAAATAGGAGGGGGGGGGGTGAAGAAATAGTATATTCTCTACCATCTCCTAATTTATAGAGTTATTGTCTTTAAATTTGTATTATCAGCTACCTTGAATTATTGTACAGTTCTGTTGCCATAGGGGGTATGAAGACTTTTCAAATACACCAGTACAGTACTATTACTACTTCTCATTTCACAAACAGTAATAAGTTCTCAGTTTGTAGAACTAGCTAAGTAGCATTACAGATTAGGATCCTGTATCATGATTTACTGATCTTTTCTAACTCCAATCTGGAATCTGGTTTTATAAGAAGTTGTACTGGTTCCAGGCATGCATGGAGTATTCCTCACATACACTTAAATAGCTTTCAAATCAAGTTCATATATCATCAGGTTAGTATGCATTCTTGTAGTTGATACTGATCAAATACTGCTTTCACATACAGTACTTAGAAGGTCAATTAAGGAACAATGATTACTAATGACAGGAGCTGAATAAGAGCCTTTGTGTGACATTTGAAGTACTGCATTTGCATATCCTATAACTATCGGAAGTTGTGCACTTGTACCAATTGTATCTAAGCAGTTTAAATATTAGCAAACAGTCAGCTTATAGTCTGCTGAAAGAGTATGATTTACTTTCAGTCACTCTTGTTTCGATACTACCCCTTGTAATCATACATGAAGTCATGAAACTAGAATTTCAAATTTCTCAGCCACCAACACCATATTTGGATACTTCTTATAACTATTATGAATTGCAGTAATAGTTGTCTAAATACATATTTTCATATTATGGTAAGGTTCTACTTGCGGACTTAGAAGATCAAATGCTGGTTTTGGAGACAGGATTTGTTGTAAACTGAATAATCAAGATTGCTAATAAGAATACGAAATTTTTTTATACTGAAACTATATATAAAGTTATCTCAAGTTAAAATAATACTTTAAAGACAAAACCAATTTCTATAGTAAACTAGTATAATACTGTCTCTCACCAAAATATTATGTTGAGCCACAAAGCTAAGTTGAGCCACAGAATTAGTATAGTAAGCCACAAAGTCATGTTGACCTGTTAGGTACTCTTGTGAGAGTGTCCAGGTTGTAAGCAAGTAAGCAGCCTGGGTTGTGGCTTAGCAGCTACAACCTTGGCACGAGTATATTGAGCTGCAAAGAAATTACATTAAGCATCAAAAATGTGTGGAACAATAATGCTATGTTGAGCTACAAAAAGTTGTGTTGAGCAACCAGTTATATTGAGCTGGCAGGCACCATCTAAATGCACCCTGTTGCTAGTAAGCAAGCAGCCAGGGGTTGTGGCTTACCGCTACAACCTTGGCACGAGAATTACATAATTTAGATCTCACTTGTGCTTCCCACTACATAGCCGTCCACTAACCGCTCAAGCACACCCAATAGACACTTGCTGACAGCCATTTTCTCGCGGAATTTTCTCCCACAGCTCAACCCCAGACATGCCCCTGAGACCCACCGCTACCACTACTCGGCCCGCTTGCTTGGCCACACTTTCACTCAACTCGCTCGCTTTTAATTCATGGTGGATACCACGAGCCTATCACCTCCCTCTGCCTCGAATTCACCCCTCACGCCAATTCCCTGACTGCCGATCCCCGGCTCTCTTTTACACCTCGTCCCGACGACAGGAACAGACACCTCTTCCCCGCCCCCGCACTCTCCCCCCTGAATCCAATTCCCCTACTTCTTTCGCCCTTGATTTGGAGACTCAGTTGTCACTCAGCACACATCCTCCCTCCGAATCCCAAATCTTGTTTGCTTTAACGGCGTGTCAGAACTTTGTGAATTCTCAGTTAAAGCCTACGAGCAACGGAATATACAGAATAACTCCTACATCCGCAATACTATCCCTAGCTGAGTGCTCCCACCTTACTCCACTCCGTTCACTCCAGCCGCCAACGCGGTCCTCTCAGTTTCACGCGACTCCGGATTCTTGTCTCCGGGATATCTCAGAACAGAATAAGGTTTTCTTTTCCCCAATCACAGACCTAGCCTTCAAGCTTATCTCTCACACCGCCACTTTTATTTCCCCAAAAGTGCTCTCGGTCTATGTTTCCCTTCAATCGGTGATCAAGGACCCCACGCTCATCCCAGCCGTCTTTTCTCTCTATGCCCGAAAATCGTATACACCTCCTGGTACCAAGAAGGTAATTATTCCAAATGCCAACCATTCCAGCAACGCAATTCCCCGAGACACGGCCGATGCTGCGCTCCGCGCAGCAATTGAAGTCAAAGATATGTCTCTTTGCCTTGATATAATCGATACCTCATACGGGCTTCCGGCATTCCGCAGTGCAAAGCTGATTCGGGAAGCTGCCCCAGTGGCAATTCTAGCTTGCCTTATGCCACCCGTTGCCTATGTCATTGGGGATATCCTCGCAGGATACCAGGACGAGGTGGATCATTCTCATGCGCTAGGATTTGCATTCGCTGGCATACTGGCTTATATCACCTTCACTGCCGGCCTTGGTATTGTCACAGTTACTACCGCAAACGACCAGATGGTTAGGGTCACTTGGGCGATCGGGACTCCTCTAAGGCTCAGGTGGTTACGGGAGGAGGAACGGGCTGCTTATGACCGGGTTGCTCAGGCATGGGGCTTTGATGACCCCATAAAGAGAGGATTTGAGGAAGGGGAAGAGTGGGAATTACTCCGCGAAGTAGTATTCAGGAAGAGCATGATCCTGGACAATCCAGATTTGATGGATGGCATGGAGTGATCTTGGAAAAATGTACTTGTATAATACTTGAACACCCCCTGTTCCCCTCCCAAAAATCTCCATAGCCATCCCATTTCATAGCACAGCATAGCGGAGATCTATGTTAAATTCATCGCTCGGTACAATCCATAACCGCCCGTTTTCTTACACTACCAAGAGCATCCTCCTACTCATTGAGCAACCTAAACTACCCTGTCGGTGAACAAAATTGATATCACTTGCATATACACTACGCCACTATTAGCAGCCTCAGCCTGAGGCTGAGCACGAGTGGATCTATGATAGGACGGATCAATTCTGGAGGCCGATTTCATCCCTGGAATGTCCCGGTTCGGAGGAGCAAGAAGGGGGCTCGAGTTTCAGCGGCTCAACCCGCTCGGGCATGTCTGGAAACACTCAAAACGACTCAAACGGTCTAGGGTTGACCTACGGTAATTCACATGCACGAGTACGAGTACTCGTACAGTATGAGGCAGCTGCTAGGTTTCCACCATACCTCGTTCACAGCTTCTTCCCGGAACCCCATTCCTCCCATCCTTGTCCTCCCATCCTTGTCCTCCCATCGTCTCCCTCGCCCTCCACCCAGCCTCCTGATTGATTGTGATTTTCCTATCATACCATCTCATCCTTTCTACTTCCAACCCGCCTCGCTACCTCTACTATTCACCACAGCCTCCATCCCCCCGGACTGACACACCACCGCCGTCCACCCCCGAAACTAATCTGCAATCCTCTATACCGTCCCTCATCTACACATCAAGTTCCAGTTTCCTTACCTGTCTTCGAATGTCTCAGTTCTTTAACTCTATCGGGTAGGATATTCATCACCCCCTTCCGTTCCCTCTCTTTAGCATTCTTGGTGTTGATTTTTGGTTTTTTCTCATGGCTACTCTACCACTCACTACAGTCACTTGAATTCTAACGTGAATGGCTGGTTTACTTAGTCGTGGGTTTCGCGGGAGGAAGCTGGACAAGACCAAACCTCCTCCCCCACCGCCGGGACCAGGGAATGGCGGGAACGGCGGAGCCGGTGGGAATGGTGGAGGTGGCTTTAACCCCTCTCCTGGAAATCTGATGCCGGGATCTCCCTCCGGCCCGAGAATCACTCAAAAACCCCTCTTTCTCTGCAAACCGTTTGTCACGAGCCAACTTGTTAAAGGCAGTTTCTCGACAATTGTTGTGCTTCCCCGATATGTTGACCAAGGGGAATGGCTGGCTCTTAATTGTAGGTTGCTCAGTTTCCATTACCGTTAGATGTAATTATTCACCAAGTCGGGGTTAACGCCTACTATGAATTTAGTGTTTGAGTTTTTCGACATGCTGAATAAGTTTTACGGGGTTGTGCAGGAGTTCTGTACTCCACAAGCTTGCCCCTCCATGTCCGCAGGGCCTGGGTATGACAAGCTACACCCCCGACACTGAGAAATTTAACTAATTATCTCTCTTGCTTCTCTAAAGGTTGGACTATTCCTGGCTCGATGCAAATAAGAAGCCATTGCGTTTGCCCGCAACCACATACATTGAATACGTTCTCCAATGGATCTCAAACCGCATCAACGACGAGTCCATATTTCCCACAAAGGCCAATCCAACTACCAACTCTGCTGTGAATACCCCTTCTTCAGGTTCGGCAAGTGGTTCGCCAGCTGGAACTTCTGGCGCTACCGGTCAGACTTGGATTGGAAAGGATGGTGGTTTTCCACCAAATTTTTATGTCACCTGCAAGGCCATCTACAAGCAAATGTTTCGCGTCTTCGCCCATATCTATCATACTCACTTTGCGAAAATTGTTCACATGAGCTTAGAGGCTCATTTCAACAGCTTTTTCGCTCATTTTATCCACTTCGCACGGGTAGGGCGTCCAGTTTATCTGCTATTATTGTCCTGCTGCTGACAATGATACACTAGGCTTTTGAACTGCTAGAACGGCGTGATATAGAACCACTCCGTTCACTGATTGACTCCTTCGAAGAACAAGGCCTCTTCAAAGACAATGAACGATCCAGGGAACAGTAATTGTTCTCAATAACACACGATCTGGCCTTGTCTGTATGGCTGTTATTATATGCTTACCTCCCGTCCTGAACCTTGAAGTTTGTGTTTTTATTTCCCCCATCTATCCAATTGGACTGTTCGCTATGGAGTTATCAATATCAGGCATGGTTGGCAAATAAATTCATGTTTCCGCCGATTCCCCACAATTGTTTTCGTCCTCTCTTCCTTTTACACTCTCTCAGGCATGTTTGTGTGATCTCCTATAATCAGGCCGCATTATTCCAGAGTGCAGTTCTACAGATCTCAAACACCTGTTTCATCATCCCCAAAGCTCAAGTTTGTAGGTTCAAACTCCTGTTCACACCAGCCCGATCTCCAGGGCCAAATATCCCGTAGTGTGTCACGAATAGTTTAAGAACCATATTTTGTTTCCGGGGACAAGCATGTAAGCCACGGACGGAATCCAGCCGCCCTGGTACGGTTTAACACTTCCAATTCTAAATACTCCACTTAGGGCCCATAGAACAGACATTTCCAGCCCTCCCTGTCCACCACGAGCGTTGTCTAACACAGCAGAAAGAAAGCCTCCTGTGGTAATCAAGTTGGCTACCACAGAAACTACACTAAAACTCTGCCCAGTGAACACATGAGCTGCACCATTATTAGCGGGTGATTTCCCTGCTTCAAGGGTCTGGGAATACCTTGATCGCTACCGGTAGAGAAAATGCCTGCTCTCACCAGTCTTTACCACGGCTTCCCTAATCTTCGCGATGGAGGAGACCAGGGTTGAATGGAGTTCATCAGAGATGACCGATGGCCGGACACCCGAGCGGTTCCCCAAGGCCCAGGAAAGCGCACACCTCCTCCATAACCACAACCATATCAGCCTAAGAAACAAGTAAATAAAACCGTCATGATGTACCACGTGATGCCTTATGCCCCACGCACATTTATCCAGAGCATGACTGGTCTCAATCTGAACAATTGTAAGAATGCAGTCGCCCCGAGGACTAGGGGTATTCGATTGAGGACCGACATTAAGAGCTCCCATCGGGCCAGAGGGCTTAGCAATTTTGCACACATGTGAGCTGCGAGGTAGGGGGGGAGAACTCACAATGGAACCCCATCCTCTCTCACTCCTATTGGAGGGAATTTGGCGTAACCCACCGCGCCTACTCTTCTGCCGAAACCAATGGCACCAGAATCCCGTGGGCACCGATGTTTAATCCACCGAGGATGGACAGAAACGGAGAACAATGGTGCGGAAATACGTTTGAACATCCGGGCCTCACGGGCCGAAGTATGAACAATTGGACTAATACCGCAGCTAGCGACTGCGCTGACGGCTTCGTGCATAGTCCCGTCACCAATTCCGCCGTTCTCAGGAGTCGGTACCGGTGAGAACCCAATCAAAACAGGAGCAAGCAATTGTGGACATGACTTTTGCGGCATCACACATTAACTTTCTAATCATCCAGCTTCAAACCAGCGGGCCGGAGTGCATTAGCGATAGGATGAAAACTTACTGCCCAGGAGCACCTGCAAGGCGCCAAAACGTTGTCCAGTCCCAGTTCACAAAGCATTGTGGGGCCTATTAACAGCTTCCATTTACAATTTGTAGTCTGTCGGACTGTTTCGCTGTATTTGCGTTTTGCCGTGATCCGGTCAGTGGGGGCAAGGAGGCACCGAGGAACAGAGCTTGAGGTTAATTTATTCAATATCTATACTATTACTTTTCCCCCTCACGATTTGAGGCTCAGAGACAATAATCCTGGGGTGCAGGGGGGATCTCCTGCTCATATCCCCAAGTCTTGTGCGTTAACCACAGCGACGACAATGTCAACCATTGAGTAACAAGCAACCCGTCCGGGCACCCGGCTTCAGCGAGCGGGGATGTCCGGCCGGGAGGGTAGGATGGATCTACCGGTACTCGTAGACTAAGTAACTTATAATAGTAATTTAACACTGTAAGGATACTAGCGTGGTGCCAGACGTTTGAAATCGACCCCCGGAACAAGAGGACAAGTTGAGAATAAGACCCGAACAACAACAAACAAGCCAGGGGTGCGGTTGAGAAAACAGGAATATAGATGTGATAAAGAAGTATGCCAGAGAAGAGTTCCATGAATTGAAATGAGTGCCCAGAGAGCCAAGAAAATCTCAGTTTAAAATCATCAAGATGTGAACAAGGGGCTGATTCTAAATGTCCCACACTTAGGTGATATCATACTGGTGGAACGTCATCCACGATTCATCCGATCAGCGATCCCCCCCCATACGAGTAGATTACGTACCGGAATGGCGCCGGACCCATGGGTAATTCGTCACGTGAGTCTGGTAAGAAAATTCCGGAGCACCTTTTGGCTGCGATGTGTCCTTAGATAAGGCACGTGACGAATATATTTATCGGCCACACTCGTACAGTACAGTAAGAGCTCTCTATTGCACTGGTGCAGTATTATACTCGTAGCTAGCTAGCTAGCTAGCTGCTGTACTGGTATGATAACAATTGCTTATCATACCTTTAGCTCTGCTCGAAAGCTCGAGACTAATAGTACGGGTACTCGAGTACTCCAACCGGTATACTACCGGCACGGGACATAGGGCACGGTAATACAGCATCAAACCATCAACGTTCCCGATATACCCTGCCTATTTAGTATCAACCCTACCTATCTCTCATTACTATCGATCCGGGGTTATACCTTGCAATTCAAGTTACTCGTACAAATCTCTGCCAGCAGTGACACTAGAGTAAAACAAATGTGATACGAAGATAGATAAGTTAAAGTCAACCTTTTCCCTCTCCCTCCAGCAAACCGCTTACCGGCGTGCAGCAGGAAAGGTAGTAAGGTAAAGTAAGCAGCGGGGGTATTGTAGTCCCCTCTCATATCTTGTCTCGTCCCGATAACTTAACCCAAATGCACGGTTACTTAACCCCGAGCACGATTCCTTGGTTCTAGACAAAGTTTATACGTTGTGAATCCATCGCAGGATCAATGAGACCCCTTCAACCCTTGGTAGTGTTCTGAATCGTCAATCGATAGTCGATGTCGTAACCAGTCTTCACCGCAGACATCCTACTAAAGCCCGTCCCGTCGCACCAGGTGCCATACTGGTACTGCGCCGTGCTCGTACTCATACTGTACAAGACAAGCCAGGAGGGCTCGGAATTCCGGACTATTGAAGCCAGCGCAAGAAAAAGAAAAAGAATCGAGTTTCTTTCCCCGAACCATTGAGCAACCAGAACACAAACTTCCGCGCCGGGTACAAGAGGAATCGATCCAAAAATAAAATGGAGACCACCAAGGAACGCGTTAAACAAAGTGATATGGACCGGGTTCCCTTCCCCGCAATTTTACTTTAACCTGATCAATTGTTATCTGTGTGATTGAACTATACAAAGCCGCCCTGCGCATCTCATCCACAACTCAGTGCAAAAGTTCAATGATCGTATCATCATCATTTCGGCCTAGCTCATGTCGACTCCTACACCATCGACCATGCCAACCACGTTATCAACATCAATCCATCCATTCATCCCCCCAACCCCTCTGACCCGAGCATCCCCGGTCATTAATAGACCTTCTTCTTCTCATCAACACTAAATTGGCCAGGGCCCATATTGACTAGGAGAACAAGACCACCACTAGGGATGAAATCAACAAAAGATATATGAGGTTGAAGAACCAAAACTTACACGATGGATAAGATCTGGAAGAAATCGTACTTGGCAAAATCTCGGTGAGGGTGGTGAGGGTGAAGCTAATATAGTTTATACATGTCAGTACACCAGTACACCGCAGGACCTACACACACATAGAAGGGGTTAAACTCACAGTCCAGAAGTTGTTGATAATAAGGTTAAAGATGCTCAAGATAACGACGAGCAAAACCGCGCTCCACTTGGCCTTGAACCCAACCACAACCATTACACAGGCAACAAACCCAACCAAGCTCACCAAGACCCTACTAACACTCCACTCACCAGAGTACACAAACCCGATGAACAGGAAGATTAGCAGAACTCTCCCGGCAAGCTGGAAATACATCTTGCGGTCCTTCTCGTCGATCTGCGGAAGCCCAGCAAAAGAGAAACGTTTGCGATGCCACGAATCGGAAAGGACCATGAGTAGACCACCCATGACAGAAAGATTGCGGAGGAAAAAATTCAAATCGAAAATTAATCCATATCCGAGAGCTTGGGTAATGACAACACCAAGTAGGCCTCCGACGGCATATTCAGAATGGCGACGGGCAATGACCAGAACAGAGCAAATCAGCATAACAACAACATTGGCAGCTAAGAATAGATGAGTAAGGCCCCAGGGCACTACATAAACATTTTTGTTTTTGCGTTAGTTCAATCCTGTATGTGGCCCGCCCGCTCTGGGGGGATAGCACCCCCTGTTTAGAACCCGCAGAAAGGGGGGACATACTGCGCCTGTAATCATGGAGGTACAAAAGTTGATCGCCCCATTGGGTCATAATCCTGAGCGCATCTTCAAGAAAAGTTACAACGATGAGAAACCTTCCAATTGCGGGCAGGTACCTATAGCATGAGTCCACAAACAATGAGGAAGCGGTGGGTTCAGTTAGCAATCAAGTACCACTATCTTGCAACCTGACAGCCTCCCACGAGCCTAGCTCCCAGCCCCCCCCCCCCCCCCCCCTTATGTGGAACATACGGTTTAACGGGTTCAGAAAAAGTGTCCAGTAAATCTTCAATCTTACTAGTTTGGTCACGGATAGCATCGAGCGGGGAAGGATCCGAGGTTGCTGCAGAGTGTGACGGTCCTCCGAAAGGCCTATGATCAGGGCCTAGATGATAGTTCGCCGTTCCTCTAATTTGCGACATCAAAAAGTACTTAGATACTCTCGAGCCGAGAGTAAATTTTGGGGAAGAAAAAGGTGAGACTGATGGCTTTTCTGTTTTTCTTGTTTTTCTCTTGCTTTTTCTTTTGCTGGTGAAGAGAGGAGTATTGACAAATCCGAAAGAGGGTTTATTCCAGGTTCCAGCCGATAGTCAAGGAGCGGTGGTGCGAACCTAAAAACGAGGCACAAGAACCAGAATGATTGAAGCCCAAGAGGATTTCTGGAAACGATGTTAAACGTGAATAGAGGTAGAGAGGTAGGTAGGTACGTAGGTAGGAAAAGAAATGCAGTGGGCTAGAAGGGGAGGGGAGCGGAGTAGGGATGGTTGGTTGGAGGTTGGCGGCTGCTAAGGTGTACTGTACCAGGTCTAGAGTAGAGGCAAGGTGGTCAGAACGCGAGCACTCAGAGAATGGTCCCGGCAAAATTTGTACAAAGCTGCGCTTCAACGTATCATAGTGAATGTGGCGAGAAGACTATTTCATAATTCTCCTTGCCGCTCAGAATTAAAACATTTTTACTGCAGAACATTACCCATCCCGACACTGAGCTCGTATTACAGGTACAGTACGATGGAACTATGATACATGTATCGTGGGTCGTCGAACTCGTACGGTACTGTACCAGTAAGGTACGGTAAGTTACCCTCTGCTGTCCTGGCCCAAAGAGAAGCTTTTAAAGATAGAAAATGCTGGCGCCACATAATCAGCGACTGGACCGTATTTAAGCCCGCACCCGCCCTGTTAGTCCGAGAACGTTTTTTCTCCTTTCATATATATCGGATCCCGAAAGTGAGGTCCTGAACCAGTCCTCTATTGTACCATACGTTAAAAATAAAACTTCTGCTTGTAATGACATGCGGCACTGCACTCTCATCATACTGTACCTTTGGAAAATAACAAACAGCACTATGGATCACCGGTGGTAACTGGCCCAAAGATCCTTGTACGAGGAATATACAGTGCTGTATTTCCCCCGAGCCAATATTGGTCTATCAAAGCGGCTACTATTGCAAGTACAGCCCCTGTGCTGGTGTCAAATGGGTACTGGTAAACCTCCTCAAAGCCCACTTTTCTGATTTATTTTTACTGTGTCAATAGCAGAGCACGGTCCCTAATCACATTCCTCGGGCACGATACTCATACCGGTACTGAACAGTACACTCAAGTGCGGCACCGGCCTCAGGTGGAGGAGGATTCGATATGAGCGGCAGATTCCCTTAATTTTAGACTTCTCCCCCCCCAAACCTCTATACTGTACCTTCGATTAACATTGCTCTCCCGCCACCAAAAGCCCACACGAGGATATTGCGCTGGTAGGAGAGAATACGGGTAAAATGAATGCATCCTAAGAGCGTTGGTAATCACAATGAAATACCGTACTGTAGCAGTCAGTTACGTGCACCTCGACTCCAGAATTTGAACGCCATCATTTCCTCTAAACGACCCGTGACAAAAGACGCCACTTGGAACTCTTTGCATTTCTACCGAGTTATAGCTTGAAGTTATTCGGACTTGAACACAAATTCCACCGACATCTAGTATAGGGGACGGGAACTGCTTTGAATGTAAATAAATACGGAAATAGCATAACGGAACGTCCCGGCTACAGAACAGCTAGTGGGAAGGGAAAGGGTAAAAAAAAAAAAATGAATTGTGAAGAAAATGAAAGAAACAATACTAAAGGCTGACAGTAGAAATTACCGACAAAGGAAAATTCCTTCAACAGAGAATTAGAACACGATACCCTGCTGAGCAAGCCACCTTTTATTTCCCTCAATATTTTTCCTTTTTCCCTAATGAAAAAAGAAACTCATTAACCATAGAAAGAAAAGACAACAAAGGAGAATTGTGAAACTAAGAGATATACAGACTAGTGAATACCCCCACAATTCATTTAGTCAGCACGAAACAATAAACCGCGCTCAACCCAAAGGTAAACAGAAACTTTAGGGAACAGCACACATGACCAACACCCGTCAACCTAGCTCTCTGTGTGAACTGCCCAATTATCCGAGTCGTCAACTTCTGCCCAATCTGAGCTTGAGTTTTTCGTATCACTAGTGGTACTGCCAGTATCCAACAATTGGAATCCGTTACTGCTCCTAGTGGCTTCGCTGGCCACAGTCTGGGAAGCTTCCTTCTTGAAACCCTCCTTTTTCGAAACTGGTGGCCTCTCGGGTTCAGGTTGACGGGAAACTTTAGTGGACTCAATACTTGCCGATTCATCCTCGCTCTTGCCGGTATCGGGATTATTGTTTACCTTCTTCTGCTTCCGGCCTTTTCTCTGAACTTCGCTCCAATCCGCTGCAAGATATGCGGGAACCGTCTCCCATAACGAGTCGGTTATATCTTGACGTTGAGTGAGGTCTTGACTTTTTGCAAGGTTCTTGTCTTCTTCGCTATCGCCAGAGATGTGTTGGGTGCTGGCTTGGGAGTCGGGTGACACAAACGTGTCGAGAAGGTCTCCCGAAACTGACTTGATCTCTGGAGCATTGGTAGGAGTGGAAGACCTCTTGCCATTGACAGTAATCCATGCGGAATCAACCATGCGATCATCGGGAGGCGGTTTGCTCTTCAGCTTAGCCGCTTCTGTGGCCCTCACACTCGCACGGTGCTGCTCAAATCTGGCCTTTTGGTCAGCTCTTTCTGCCTCCTTTTCCAGCTTCTTTTTCTCTTTCTTCTTCGCATTTTTGATTGCGTGCGTTCCACTCTGGCCCGAGGGTGTGATAGGCCCCTGCCTCTGGCTGGGTGGAGGCTGTGTCGATGGTGTGATTGTAAGGACGCGAGCTCCTGGGGTAGACCCTTCTAGCATGTCACTAGGATCTGTAGAAGTAGATTGCGGGAACCCAGACCCGGGCAATTGTGATGTCTCCTCTTCGTCAATATCTGCATCGGCGCCGGTGGAGGATGTCTGAGAGGCTGTTGCGAAGGGAGAGGCAGGGGTCGTAAGGTGAGGCTTCTGTAATTGAGATTTCTGCGATTGGGACTGTTTTGTTGATGAGCTCGATGGAGCTCCTTTCTTCCCACCACTCTCTGTGAGAGATTGAAGCCTACGCAAAGCTTGTAGCTCATCCTCATCTTGAGCCACATCATCATCGGTTGATTGTGCAACCTTCTCACCGTTTCCGTTGTAAGTCACCTTTTTAGGGACAGTGTTCGAGAGGGCGGTCTTCTTCTTCTTAGGTTTTTTTTTCTTTTCCGCCGTGTTGCCATCTGTCCCACTGCTCACAAAGATGCCGCTACCGGATAACTTGTCCGAGGCAGCCGAGACGACACGCCTGCCATGAGGCTGAGCTCTACCCGATCCGCCGTACCACCAATACCCTGCAAATGCTATAGCGAGGAATAGCCCCCACGAGATGAGAACAGAGCTCATGGCGAAAAAGGGGGGGGACAGAAGGAAAAAGGTGGATAGGTCCTCAGCTTCGTGAAAAGCTCAGACACCAGCTCTGACGGGTGCCAAAGACCGGAAGGAACCAGTGCTCCTGTGAGCGGTGAGCTGTCAAGGTTGCCGGAGATTAGGGGATAGGAGGATTGAAGAAAGGGACGCAGAGTCACTAGGGAGACTAAGGGGTAACCATAGAATGTGTGATAGGAATTGCGGGAGGTGAGAGAGGCAATGTGGTGAGAAAAGCAGGGCGAGCAAGGTGAGCAGGGTGTATAGACGAAAAAGGAAAGGTGAAATATCGGCAGTAAGAGTTTCGTTCGGACAAGAGAAGGGAAGGATGGGAGTCGCAGGAAAGGACGATACGACACCGTACGCACGCAAACGAGGGACCTTGGAGGGAGAGGGAGTGGTAGGTAAGGGATGAGAGAGATGAGGAAGAGAAGGTAACCACAGCGGAGTTACAGCAACGGAACAGGAGGGAGCGAACTTTACCCAAGGGGAAAAAAAAAAGAAAAGAGAAGAGAAGAAAAATGTCAATAACAATAATAATAATAATAGAAAAGAGGCCCCTCTCGTCCTTCCTGATTTCGCAAGCAGCACCGTTTGGTCCGTCCCCATCTCTTTTTAGGTGAATCTAGATGATAAATAAGCAGAAGCCAAGGCTGAACACGGAAAAGGAGGAGCGCTGTAGGTCTCATTGGCTCGCCAAGGTAGATTTTGACACCTTTACTTGTACCACTTTCGACGTGCCTGGAATATGAGATATCATAACAGGGAGGAGCCGTGAGGTGGCCTTTTCGCGGATGGGTACAGGGACAGTACCGTACTGTACCGGTGCAGTAACAGCATCGAACTCCTAGCGTTGGGAGATAATAATTTTACTCTTCTGGTAGAAGGGTATCACCGCAATTCACCGGCTCTCGTAGTGTTAAAGTACCGGTCCGGCCCTGTAGTACTTGACGATTTATAAGGTATTCTGACAGGTTTTTTTTCCTTGGCCCTAAGCCTTCGGGGGGAAATTGAGGCCACATTTGTCCAAGATAACCGGTACTCTTCTACTTCTTTACATGTACTCGAGTGTCACAAACTGTGACTAAGCAAGGCAGATTTTACATAGCTTGGGATTCTGAGCTATAGGTATGTGTTAAGAATCCTACCGGGCACTGGGGTGCGACAGGTAACGATTCTTAATGCGTATTGAGGTAATAGTTCTTAGGCCGACGCCTATGCGATGTAGATAGCTAAGTCCTTTCGACTTCTATCTTATTGCACCTATTCCTCTGATGTTCCTAAGTCCTCGCTTAGGACTTAGTCGTTCAACATGGGAGAAGAAATAGTTTTCTCGCTTGAGAGGAAAGACAATTCTCGGGTATCTCAAGATAAAACTTAAAGAGTATGAAGGTAGGTTTTATTGTAATAACTTAAAAGTAGGAAATAAATAAGAAGAAGGTGTGAAGAACTAATACTCGGGGTCCTAGCGATCCCTTATATAGTAGTTCTTCACCTGGCGTAACTCATACCTCGTGTCATGTAAATCCTATGACTCATAACTATGAGTCACGCGAAATTCCTCAGTCGACTCCTATGAGTCGCTACTCAACATACCAATCAAAATATAATAACCAGGTCAGGTGTGCAACTCATGTTACCTGACTGAAACCCATGACTCATAAATTGAGTCATGTGCGAAAATCATAACATCGTGTGACTTACATCTGTGAGTCACAAACAGGGAAACATAATAACCTATAGTGCACTAGTGTGCGTCATGTGAAATCCCAACATACCTATAGCTCGGAATTCGGGGCTATGTAAAATCTGCCTTGCTTAGTTACAGTTTGTGACAGTATGTTGGATCTCACATGATGCAAACTAGTGCACCATAGGAGATTATGTTTACCTGTTCGTGACTCACAATTGTGAGTCACATGATGTTATGACTTTCATACATGACTCAAATTATGAGCCATGGGTTTAACTCAGGTGACACGAGTTATGTACCTGACATGATTATTGAGTTTTGATTGGTTTTAGGTATATTGGGCAGCAACTTGTAGGAGTCAACTGAGGGATTTCACATGACTCATAGTTATGAGTTACAAGGTTTGTGTGATGAGAGGTATGAGTCACACTGGGTGAAGAGTAACTATATAAAGAGTTACTAGGACTCTGAGTATGAGTTCTTTACACATTCTTCTAGTTTATTTCCTACCTTTATATTCTATAAATAAAAACCTACCTTTATGCTCTTTAAGATTTATCTTAAGAAACCCAAGAATTGTCTTTCCTCTTACAACAACAAAGATTGAGTCCTAAGCAAGAACTTAAGAAGACTAAGGAGGTGTTTGGCCCACCATGATTCTGATTTGAAAACGTGATTTGACTTAAAATCATGATTTCAAATCAGGTAGTATTTAGCACACTCACATTGTAATCTGATTTCAAATTTGGTTCTGATTTAGAATTTATGTAATTGATTTAGGGTTTTGTTGCATGATAATTCTTTCACTAATAGGTTAGGGTAAATTGATAGATTACAACAATCAACTAGAGAGGGTTATTTTTTTTCTATAGTGCAAGTACAAATCAGCATGTACCTCATTTAGCTGTAGTTTTAGAGCAGTATAACCTACCAAATACTGGCTAAGATAATGTAAAAAAATTGTAAAAGTATAGATCAAGTGAAGCAGAATAAAAGCACAGTTTTTTATTTTTATACAATCATGCAAAAGTGATGATAAACACAATTGAAAAGTCGTAGATTTTGGCGTAGAATTCATGGTCCTGGCATTGAAATGCAACATACTATGATGACTAATCTTGTGATATTGAAAGCATAAAGGATATTGATAGTATAATAATTTAAATATTATTAGAAAAACAACATGCAGAAAAATATAAGTCAGTTTTATAATGGTCAGAATCAATAAGCGAAAGCAACAAAGCCAGAGAGCAGGTCACCTAGGTGGTAGTCCCAAGAAAGTGAAAGATGGGAGTGGATCTAGTACTGTTGAAGCTGTAAGTCAAGAAGAAGTAGCAAATGAGAATACAGCAGTATGCCAAGGTAAAGTATCATACAAATCATATTTAAATTATCACCTCAGATAAAAGTTAAATATCTAACATTAAGAGTTATTAGATATTGATAAAATTATATCTCATACAGGAAGAGGAAGCAAAATTCCATGTCGTCAAACAATTTGGAGAAGGAGAAAGCAAGTTAAAAGACAACAAAGCTTGCAGAAACTTAGTACAACTGAAAATTCTATAAAAGGAGTCGCACTTGCAAATGGTGTGCAAGTACAGGAGGACTGGGAGAATCAGGGAAAGCAGGTAGAGCAGGAGGAGTATGAGAAGCAGGCAGAGTAGGAGGAGTATGAGTATGGAGGAGTAGAGGAGCAGGCAGAGCAGGATGAGCAGGACGAGCAGGTGGAGCAGGATGAGCAGGAGGAGCAGGTGGAGCAGGTGGAGCAGGTGGAGCAGGTTGAGCAGGTGGAGCAGGTGGAGCTGGAAGAGGAGGAGCAGGAGTAGGGAGAACAGGAGGAGCAGGAGGACCATGGTAGTAATGAGATGGATAATTTGGCTGAAGCAATTCAATGTTGGCCAGTTTTATCCCAATATCAAACTATCAAATTTAAGTATTAGATTGTTACAAAAGGTGTGTATATTTTAGATTATAGTATCTAAATCTTTATAAAATATAAATAACTAAACTGGCTCCCAGGGATCCAGAATATGTGAAAGCAGTTGAACTTTAAACGAAATAAGCTGAATGGTCAGGATCATGGTAACCACATACAAGTTCTAGAGTTTCTGCGATTCCAATGATATGGATTAGTCAAACCGTTCTGGAAAAGATCATGAAAGGAAGTTGCAGAACGGATTGCAGCAATTGCTGGTCAGGGAAGACATGTGTACAACCATATTATTTAAAATGAAAAAAAGATAGATCAAAACAGGTAGTATTGTACCTTCCCAGCAGGGCAAATCAGTGATGCTACACTGCCCGATTAATGATAATGGTACAAGGCTTATACTGAGAGAATATCTTGCTGGAGCTGATGAGAGAGTCACTGGACAGAGTGTTGCATATGCTATTTCAGCCTATTGGCAAACTGGAATCCTACCCTTTAAAGAACAGCCAGAGTTGAAGAACCTCTTACAACCATATACGTCAGAAGTAAAGGCGCAGTTAGCAGCACTGGCAGCAAAGAGAAGTGAGCTGAAGAATACTTTAAGCTCATGAACTGCAGTTAAATGGTTGCATAACATGGGTTACAAGTTTCAGAATATCACCAAAGGAGTTTACAAGGATGGCCATGAGCATAGTGATGTTGTCTAATACAGGTAAGACTGTTTCTTACCTGCACTCAAGAATTTAGAGAACGATATAGTACACTGGGAGCTTCTTGACACTGAGGAGGATGTATTTTTTTTTTTTTTTTTTTTGTTTAACTCATATATTCTTTGTTAAGGTACAAGAATCTACATGGAGTGCTAGCTATGGCAAAAACAAAACCTTAATTCCAAACGCATTCCCCCGTGCCCCAGGGACCAAAACAACCCCCTGAGACCCTTTGGTATGGGCCTAACCACACATCCCACCCTGCACAGGAAAAATTGTCCTCTACAGGGAAGGCAGAAGAGGGAAGAAAACCCTTCAGCGTTATCTGGACAAACGAAAGAATAGATTAGGAACCCCCCAGGTGTCTCTACAGGTGTCTGCGAACGAATGTGTCCACTGTCAGGCCCACAGTAGGACCCTGGTGAGATGCCATGATGGGGCTGGCCAGCTCACCCCAGGAGATAGTACAATACCAAGGTAGGCCAACTGGTCATTTGGCCAGGAGGGGGGCTGCAAGCGTGGAGGGAGGAAGACAGGCAAGAGATACCAGCAACCTGCGATAGAGGAGGGCAACCGATACTGCCAAGGAGAGAGGGGGTAGACCCCAGCCATGAGGAGTCTGGTTGTGGAAAAGGTTGGATGGTGCCTGTAGTAACACCAGAGCTAGGAAAGAATTGTAGGGCTACCCTGAGGGTGGCAGAAGTGAGAGCAGCACCAAGTGATACTGGCACAGAGGAGAGGCAGGAGGGGTAGGCCAAAGCACTACCACCTCAGTAACAATCGGGCCCAAAGGCCAAGGCAGTAGGGTGCCAGCCGATCCTGGCAGTAGGGTGCCAGTGGATCCTGGCTGTAGGGTGCCAGTGGATCCTGGAGGAGAGGAGAGGAAGAGGGCAAGGTAGCAAAGATCCAGCCAAACAATATGGTAGGAGGTTGCAACTAGGGTCACAGAAGTAGGCGAGGCTACTCCTAATAGCCCAGAGGACCACCATCCCAACTAACTGTCGAGCCATCACCAAGCCGCTAAAGCTGACCATGCTGATGCTAAGTGAGGTGAAGCAAAAGTGGGGTAGAGAGGACAGAGACCTCATGATGAGGCCCCCAGGGTCAGGAGAGGACCCCCATCCAGCAGAGGCGAGATGCCAGATGAGCGAAGGAGTAGAAGAGAGGCCCTGATGGGCAGAGGGATGGAAAGGAACAGGCTGCACCTCCCGGCGGGAGGGTGCCTGGCT